CGGGAGGCCGGCCCCACGAGCCACGCAGGATAAATTGTTAGAGCTCGGAAAACGGCCGGGTCACTTCAGCCTAACCTCGTTCCCAGGCGAGAGACCCCGCGTCCTCTACTTAGCAAGTCAGTGCCGGATCTTTTCCCCCTTTTAATGGTTATACACGTTGACTGTGGTCGAAGCAGAAAAGGAGGGGCAAAGAGGACCGGAGCAGAGCGCCCCGCCCGCGATCCCAGCCTCCGATCTCCACACCCTCCCAAAAGGTAAACAAATATGAAACCCGATCCATTACCAACTCCGGAGGTTTGTCAATCTCAATCGTCCTCACCTCCTCCTGCCGCCCCCCACCCCCGGGACAGATGGCACAAAGCGAACCTGGTGGCTTCCTCCAGCTCGACCCGGCTCCGTCCAGGTGCCTCCAGAGGGATAGTAGCCATCGCCTCCTCCGCCTTCTCCCGGCCAGGTGGTCTCAGCCGGGCCGCCCCCGCGCACCCGCCAGGAAATGGGAGGCTGAGGAGGTTCCGGGCGGGGAGGATATAAGGGTGGAGGTGGCTGCACAGGCACATCTCCACCCCCAGGCCCGTAGTAGCGGCCATAAGACTGACCGTCACTGGGGCCGTAGCCCGAGCGCCTTAGGGCCGACATAGGCTCTACTGCCCCTAAGAGCTTCCCGCCCCCCACAGCCGGCCCAATGCGCAGGCGCCAGCCAGCAAGAGGGAGTGGACAACAGTGAAGGGGGTCGGCCGACAACAGCCAATCCCGGGCCAAGCTCCGCCCCTTCGGCTGCAGAGTCGGAAGGGATGAGGAACCGATGTCCCTGACTTGGTCGACCGATCAGGAAAATGAGGGGCAGCACCGTATTCCTTGAAAAGAATTCATTTTCCCATCACCTATGCATCTAGATTCCTCTTCCCCTCTCTTCGCGGTTGGGGAAAGGGTATTCCAGGACCTCAAGATGGCCCCGCCTCTTCCTGAAGACAGGCACGTGATACCGGAAGTGGGTGGGGATAATATGGAGGAGTTTCCGGCGTGCCCCGGCCGCTGAAAGCCGGGGCAGAAGTGCTGGTCCGGGTCTGGGCTCGCGTCCCGGTGCCGCCGAGGCGGCGACTACGGTAGGAGGACGCGCTGGTCGTTCGCCGCTGTACNAGAAGGAGGTGTTGGACGCGCTGGTCGTTCGCCGCTGTACATTGCACCCTTATCTCAGCTCAAAATGAACTATATGCCCGGCACCGCCAGCCTCATCGAGGACATCGACAGTGAGTTGCTCATCTCCTTTGGGTGAAGTCCGGGGTGAGACCCTTCCTCCCGAACGGGTGCCTCTTTCGAGGGACCTCGTAGAATGAGTGTGGGGCTTGGGCGGTGTGTTCTTGGCACAGTTCTGGGTGTTTGGCGTTGACATCCTCCACGGGATGGAGGAGCCACGGGGACGCTCCGTATGTCCAGCTCCTGCCTACCTGTTACGTCTGTCCTGCCCCTGGCAGCCTCCACCAGTTCACCGGCTGGTCGGCCACAGGCTGTAAAATTCATTACTGCTTCCGAGGGACGTGGCTGCTGAGGCCCAAACGCGAAATTTGCCCCTCCGCCCGGTCAACTATCTTCCTCTGCGTTATTTCGATGTACCACTGGTGGATTCATCAAGAAATGAAAATATTAAGACAACAGCATTCGGACTTAATTGCCAGTAAACATAGGCTTGGACTTAATTGTCAGTAAACAGGCCTTATGCATAAACTCTGTAGCCATTTGCAATATTATTTTACCGTGAAGGTCTTCAGCACTTTCAGGTTATGGTAGACTTTTGCCAGAAAAGGTGTTGATTGACTTTTCTGGAAAAGCTGAATCCCTTGAAACTTTCTTTTTTTTTTCTATTAGACAGTTTTCTTTTGTTTTTACTAACAAGATCTCCCTTATTCCTCATCATTGTCCTGAAGAGGAGCTCAGTTCTGTACAAAAGAGGACCCACTTACAGTTGTCCTTTCTTTCCTTTTGCTAAACTCTCATCTGTAAATTATTTCTCAAGCATCATTTTTGTAATCGTTTTAATCGTGTGATCTGTCTCATTAACTTGCAATTGCTGCAAAATGGTTACACACAGTTTCCAACAAGTTTCAAGTCTCATTAGTGTAGATGCAAATTAAAGAGTGAGTGTATAATTAAACTTCTTTTTATTGTCTGAAAACATTTTTAAAATCTAAATTAGTGATTTTGCTAATGAAGGGAAATATAGTGTAAATTGGACCAAACTCATACAAATAACCACTGTATAAGCCTGTCTGTAATGTAATGAAAACTTAAGTTTTAGTTGTCTAAGGATGCCCTTTTGCCCTCAGCTCTCATTATATATGTGAATTATTTGAGTCCCTAATACATTCTGTCGTTTTATTATAAACAATTTTTGGCCCTCTCTGGTGTGGCTCAGTTGGTTGGGCCTTGTCAGATGCACGGAAAGGTTGCCAGTTCCATTCCCAGTTAGAGCACATGCCCAGGTTTCGGGCTCAATCCCTGTTAGGAGGCGTGCAGGAGGCAATCAGTGGATGTTTCACTCTCACGTCAGTGTTTCTCTCTTCCTCTCTAAAAATCAATAAAAAATCTTTTTTAAAATAATTTTTGTTCTCAAGTCTTCTAACCTCTTTTTATAGATTCCAAGCCTCCTCCTTTACTGAGAAGTTCAAAACCATTTCATATGCATCCTTCACTTTCCTCCTCTCCTTAGTCTTTCTAGTATTTTCACCCATCCTCTCATTCATGCAGGAAGTATTACTCCCTTTCAGTTTGTATCTAATACTCTTTCCTCCCACTGCTTCCTTCCTTCATTAATATCCTTTTTCTCTCATACCTTCTATCGTTCTCCCTCTGGTTCTTTCCCCTCATGTATGTTCTTTTCTGTCCATTGCAATTTTTTTTTTCAGTTGTGTCTCCCCATCAAACTTCCATCTATTTTTTCTATCTTTACCCCCAAACCTCTTGAGTCATCTCCATTTTGACTCTTTCTGACCACCTGCAATAAACCACCTCTGTTACCCCTGCAATTTGATTTTTGTTATCAGCACCCTGCTGCAGCTCCATTCTTAAAAGGCATCAGTCTAATCACTCTTCTGAGTCCCACCCCCTCCTCTGCAGGATTGTGATACTATTACATTGTGCTACTGGATTCTTAATCTGTGCTCTTGATTTCTCTAACACTGGCACTTGCTGATTTTCTTACCTCTCCAACTCTTAGTTTCCTAAAATAGATTGTCTCTTAGGTTCCATCTTTGGCCTGCTTCTCTCTTAAATTCTAGATCTCCTGGACTTTAAAAATTATATCACCACTTTGTGGCCTTATCCAAAATTGCTCTAATTCAGACCTCTTTGGCATTCAAGTCTTACATTTCCAGCTGTCTTTTGACATTTCTGTATAAGTGTCCTGATAGCACTTCAGAATTATAAACAGCTAATAACCTTTTACTTCTAACTTTTGGTAAGTGGTCCTCCCTGACATGATTCAAAATTCCTACTTGTTCTCTAACTCATCTCTTCAGCACCCCACTCTCTCACACATACCTACATACACAGACTCAGTTAGTTGACAAATCCTTTTACTTAAACTGCGCAGTGTTAGTCCTCTCATCGTCTCCCTTCTCACCTCTACCTTGGTTCAGGTCTCTTTATGTCTCAGACTCTGGGAATAGCCTCAGCCTGCTCCCAGTTCTTTTCTGACTTCATTTGCTGTTATTTCCCTTCACACCCTCAACTTTTCACCAACCATATGGTTACATAGCCCTTTTTTCCTCCTGCCTAATTACAAATTTCCCTCCCCCTCCCTGTCACTATTCCCATAACCAAAAATTGTACCTTTCAAGGACCAACTAAGATACACACTCCAGCTAGAGTTTCTCTCAGTCTCATGTAATTAAGATGTACTTTCTTGTGGTACTCAATTATAGCCCAGTTATAAATTATAAATTCAAGGAAGAAAATTGTAAATTCCTTCTGGGAAGAAGCACTGTCTTTTCCTCTGTTCTGCATCTAGAAGGTACTTTATGTGTGGCATTAAATAAGCGAGTGGATGAACTGTTCTAGCTATTCTAATGACTGGCTTATTGTCATTCTTCAGAGTCAGCTCAAAGACACCCCTTCAGAGAGGTTTTCCCTGGCCACCCTCTCTAGCCACTCTTCTGTAGCTACTTCCCTCTTTTCATTATACTCCTTGTTATCCTACTTATTGCCCCATTGTATTAATCACAGTGGGTTATTTTGTTTGCCTTCCTCCACCAGGAATATAATTTCATAAGGTTGGTGACTTTCTGAGTCTTATTCTCTATATGAGGCCTCAGAAGAGCACATAGCGCTCAATAAATATTGAATTTTTGCTCTAGTTTATTATCAGCATCCTCCTTTTACATGTCTGGGGCATCGTTTTTATTTAAAACTCCCCTTGCCAGGCCGGGTGTGGCTCAGCGGTTGAGCGTCGATCTAGGATCCAGGCGATCGGGGTTCGATTCCTGGTCAGGGCACATGCCCTGGTTGCGGGCTCGATCAATGACTCCCTCTCCTTTCCTCTCTCTGAAATCAATAAAGATTTTTTTTTTTAAATAAAAATAAAACTTCCCTTGATTCCAAAGTGTAAAATAGAAGCTCTTCTCTAAGTTCAGGGAGGGAAACAATTCTACAATTAAGATCATAAAGATCATCCAGACTAAATTTCTCAATTTTCAGATATAGAAACTGACATGACATTGGGTGGGGATTTAGAGCCAGTCAGGCTTCCTGGCTACTCGCCGGGTCCCTTTTCCACTCTGCCCCACTACTATGATTCTTCTAATCCAACAATTTTCAACATTTTTCATCTCGTGGCACACATAAACTAACATTCTGTGGCACACCAAAAAATATATTTTTTGCCATACTGACAAAAAAAGGTATAATTTTGATTCATACTGGACAGCTATTGTTGTGTTGGCTGTTGTCATATTTTATTCAATGATCTAAGGGAAAAGAGGTCAGTGCCCCTGACTAAATAGTGAGATATTGCATATTTTAAAAATTCTTGCAGCACACCGGTTGAAAATTGCTGTTTTAATCTAAACCCCGGACTACCTTGGTCCTCCAATTTCCCAGGGAGCGCCACCTTAAATACATTGGAAGAGGAGTGGTAGAGCTTAAACTGTCAACTTTATTTTTGTTGTTACCCTGTAAACTCACTGCAGCTAACAGTTTTCATTTTTTAAAGATCTTTTTTTTGTGTCCACAGAAAAGCACTTGGTCCTGCTTCGAGATGGAAGGACACTTATAGGCTTTTTGAGAAGCATTGATCAATTTGGTATGTATTAGTTATAGACTTCTCTTACACTCTGGAGAATAAGAGCTGCCCATTGTACTTTTGGTATTTCATATTGTAATGTATTTATCTGCAATTTTTTTATGTGTCTGGCATAATGGAATACTGTTTTGAATCATTACATCATTGTTTCCTAAATTATGACTAGATATTTCAAAAGCTTGTATTTTCAAGCTTGTATTTCTAAAACTGGTTTTCACTAGAACAAATGATTACAGTATTTTGGACTATTTATTTTCCCCATTAGAGGGAGCCAAAAGATAGAAATAAATTCAGTCCACTGAAAAAGCTGCTCATTTGTACATTGGCTCGGGTGTGACTGCTCTTCAAAGCAGTTCCTGCACTGAAGGTAATCCCTCCCTGTCCAATGAAAATTGGATAGAAGGCATTTTCTGAAGGTTGTTAGGGACCCCAACATTAAGCTCAAGATTTTACACTTATGGGTACATCAGACTCAAGAGGCTCAGCCTTTGTTTTGCATCCTGCATTTTTCTAAAGAGATCTATATTGGCTTCTGTTTCAAGAAACTTCTCAGTTCATTTCAACATTTGTTGGACATCTGCTAGGTCAGTGGATTTGGGCATAAGGGAAAAACAATGTGATTGAGTTATAGAAGATAAAGAATTTGGATATCTGCTTCTAATAAGACAAATGGAAAGAAGAAAAATAATTATTCTTAACATTGGAGTTCTAAGTCTTAAGTCAAATTCTTCAGACTACTTTGAGGGAAAAATAGTAAATATTGACTACTCTCAGATTACCAGTATGGTTATCTGACAGTGAAAAAATAGGTTTTTGCTGTGTCATAATTCATGGACGCTTGTATTGAGTTAAGTAAATCCTAAGTGCTGAAACAAAGTTAAATCTTTGGTAAATCATCACATGCACATACCCATACAACATAGAAAAACTGTTTCCTTCTAAAAAACCAGAGTTTTAATCTCTGCAGTTGTTTAGAGTCTTCCAAGTGCCCTACTCATTTGTATTTTCTTACAGCCATGTTGATATTAGCAATTAAATTGATAAATGAATTTAATTTTTTAAAACTTTTTCCCACCATCACTCATGTATCAGTGCAACATAATCCCATATACTCTCTCAGTTTGCTGTTGGTTAAAAGTCTCTTAAGTAGTGTGTCGTAACAAAATAGGAGATTGTTTGAAATTTTAGTTTTCCCCAAATTAGACAGTTTTGAAATCATGTTTAGCTAAATCTATTCTACTCAAACTGAGTTATAGGCCTTTACCCAATAATTTGAACTAAATATCTTTGTTTCTTCCCTGTACACTTATAGCTAATTTAGTGCTACATCAGACTGTGGAGCGTATTCATGTGGGCAAAAAATACGGTGATATTCCTCGAGGGATTTTTGTGGTCAGAGGAGAAAATGTGGTCCTACTAGGAGAAATAGTAAGTGAAAACTGTTAAGCTGCTATGGGTTTTTATAATTATGCTAGTTAGGGTTTTTTGTTTTGTTTTGTTTTGTTTTTTGTCTTTTGAAGAAGGGAAAAATGTGTTTTCCATATTTCACCCAGCTTCTCACAGGAAACTACCAGATTAGTTTAGGAAAGCCATAGTTGTAAAAGGAAAGTTACAGAGAATAATTAACTTTGTTTCAATGCCTCTTGACATTGTAAAGATTGACCCCATTAGCAGCAAAATACTGATTTTACCTGATATCTTAAAAAATACCATCCTATAAATATGTTCATTAATAAATTATTTCTGCTATTTCTAATAGCAGAAAATTGAAAAACTTGAAAAGAATAATTCGATAAAGTAAGATATATATACATTGTATATTTTGCAGTCATTTAAACAGTTGGTTACAAGTAGTTTTCATAATTAGCTGTGTTTGGGGAAAGAGTATATATATGCAATATGATACCCATGTTTTTAAGGGGGGGGAGGGAGAATAGATGTAGAAGTCTTTCTGTCAACTGACCTGATAATGGAGCTCAGTCAGCTTCACTTGATTCCTTAGCTTAAAACCAGTGAGGAAGAAGACTAGCTGGCAGGTGTGAAGTTAAATCTTTTAAAGTGCTGTTACTATAGGGGTGTGTGTGTATATACATGTATACACATGTCTGTGCATAAATACATACAAAACTATTTTTTATACAGGGTGGGGCAAAAGTAGGTTTATAGTTGTTTGTATGGAAAATAATACAATAATTAATAAATAATAATACAAGAATAAACTGTTTTGCATACTCACAGCTGTAAACCTACTTTTGCCCAACCGTGTATATAAAACTTAGAAGGACTCAACATTTTAAAAAAATAAACATGGTTTCATGTTTTACATGAAACATTACTTAAAAGTAGCTTATTTAGTACCTTCAACTTGATCCTACTGCTTCTGATTATTGAGTTTGCCAGGAAAATAAAATAAAACTTTGACGTTTGCTTGATTTTATGTTTTCCTATTTTGTTTTTAAAGTTTTCAGTAAAGTTTCCCAATACCTAGCCACTTCTTAAATCAGGTTTACAAAAGTGTTTTGAGTGGAGTGATTTGGTTCATAGCTATTTTTTAACAATAAGCCATTTGAGAAAATAAGATAATTCTGCCAGGGTCAGGTTGGTTCAGAGACCTTGTGTGAAATAGTTAGCTAGAAATGACTAATCATTACTGCCCAAGTGCTGCTATGAAATATATGAAGTGCCTTTTTCTAATTTTTAAAATATTTTTAGTGTTTGATATTTTTGGTTCAGTGTATCATTTCTTGCATGTTTATGCAGCAGAAAGTGCCATTTCCTTGTATTATGTAAAGGTTGAAATAAAGCACTATACCACCTGGAGGTGTGAGGGAGGGGTAGTAAATGACTATGAAGTAGTCCGCCAGTATATTAAGAGGGGCTAACCCCTCTGGACACTAGGATTATGGGTGATTATTTTTTTCCTTTTTTATACTTTTCTGAATTTAATTTTAAAGAGGAAACGTATTACTTTGCTGTCAGGAGTAAAGAGTTAAGTTAAAATATTTACACATACTCTGCTTCAGTTTTATAGTAGTGAACATCACAGAAATGCTTTCTATGCCAGTTACATTAACACAAATTATCCTTATGTAGCTGTATATGTATGTTAGGAGAAGTGGTTTGTTCTCGAAGATTCATTGTTTCCTGATAGCACAATTGTGGAGAAAAGTACTCTTCTTATATATTATGGTTTGGATGCTGCAGAATTTTTACAGTGGTACTACTAAAGAAATAATAGGAATGCTTACATAGTTATATGAATCAGTAGTCAGTTTGAAGAAATTAAGTACCGACCCTAGGAAAACCATCTAGATTCTGTAAACATTTCATTGCTTAAGAAGTCCCTGGATTCTGCCTCAAGGATGGTGATGTACAAAGACTTAAGTAATAAGACAGATTGTTGGGAAACAGCAGCATCGTAACCACATGGGTAGCTCAATGAGTAACCTACTCCGAAGTCCAAGAGGCAGTACGCTAAGCTAAGAACATGATCTTCCCTTCAGCTGCTACCCATGGGTTATGAGGGCAGGTTACACTTGATAACATATATTTTCCTGTGCAGTTAACATTTGACCCAGGGCAGGGTTTGCTTTTGTAATTTGTGTAGCTTTCATCTAACCTCTCTGGTGAGNTGATCTTCCCTTCAGCTGCTACCCATGGGTTATGAGGGCAGGTTACTTGATAACATATATTTTCCTGTGCAGTTAACATTTGACCCAGGGGAGGGTTTGCTTTTGTAATTTGTGTAGCTTTCATCTAACCTCTCTGGTGAGTTCTCCCTCTGGTATGTCATAGCCTGGGGGCTCTGAGGCCTTGGCAGCATCAGAAGATTAGTATCCAGTGATAGCTGGAACATCTGGAGAGTTTGTGTATGTGTAATGCCTTCCCAGAATTTTATCATTGGAAGTCAGAGAAGAGGGTAAGAAATGAGACCCAGTTACGAAGAGAGTAATACCTGTCTGTTCATTTTAAGGAGAATGAATTGAATCTGTGGATAATAGTGAGATGCTTTTATAGCAAGATTCTGCATTACAAGATTGGTTATCAAATGTTTATGATGTGTTTAAAAATAAAACTATTAAACATATGCCATATTAAGTGAAGAAAATTACAGTCAATATTTGCATTGTGGGGTTTTTTAAAAGTCAGTATATACATGGAAAAATTGGAAGAATATTCATCAAAATGTTATCCCTCCATACTGAAATTAAGGATTTCTTTTTTCTGCTTCTGTTTTTTAAATGTTATACAATGAGCATGTATTTTTTTTAAATAATGGAAAAAATTTTTTAGTAAGCAAAACAATTTTTTTTTTTAATCCTCACCCGAAGATGTTTTTCATTGATTTTTAGAGAGGAAGGGAGAGAGAGACAGACAGACAAACACATCGATATGAGAGAGAAACATCGATCAATTGCTTCCATACTTGCCCAACCCCAGATCAAATGTGAAACTTAGGTATGTTCCCTGATCAGGAATGGATACGGAATGATGCTCTTCAACTGAGCCACACCAGCCAGGGCAGTAAGCAGAATAGTTTTTAATTAAAATAAGAGAACTATATTGGGGCCGAACTGTTTCAGTGATCTAACAGGTCTGCTGAGATTTTCCTAGAAGACTTGTTGCCATAGACGGGAAAGGAGTCTTGTGTTACAATTTAAAGACTCCCAATTAATGCAACAGAGAGACAGTTTATTGCCTTTGGGGGCGGGGAGGTGCTTCTTTGAATCAGTGTTCTCTGCCTTCTTACTGAGCAACAACTCCCAGAAATTAAGCTGACTTTGATAATGTAAAAATACAAAATTTATCTAAAGCCCTGTTGGCCTCAGTAATTTCTCTCTTGGATTCTCTTGGGTTGGAGAGATAGCCCTAATTTTTTTTTTCTTTTTAAGAAAAGTAGTTTGAGGGGTTTTTTATTTTAATATATTTTTATTGATTTTAGAGAGAGGAAAGGAGAGGGGGGGATAGAAACAGCAATGATGAGAGAGTCATTGATAGGCTGCCTCCTGCACACCCCCTGCTGAGGACTGAGCCTGCAACCCGAGCATGTGCCTTAACCAGGAATTGAACTGCAATCTCCTAGATCTTAGGAAATGCTCAACCACTGAGCCACGCCAGCCAGGCAGGAAAAGTAGTTCTTAACTAATGTAGGACTTCAGACAACCTAAAGCTTTATTATACAAAATACACACTGTTACTCTTCCATATTACCACATTCATGTAAGTATTCTGTAGTAGGGTGGCCAGCCATTTCTTTGTAAAACTTATCTGTTCCTAGAAGGATATTTCAGCCATGCCACAATTATGAAAAATAACCAAGTCTGACATAGGAATCCATTTGCCTTGAGATGTATAGTGTTTTCTAGTTTTGGTCATCAGCTGAAGTTGCTTAAACCTGCTTGTTTTGTAGGACTTAGAAAAAGAGAGTGACACACCCCTGCAGCAAGTGTCCATTGAAGAAATCCTAGAAGAACAAAGGGTGGAACAACAGACCAAGCTGGAAGCCGAGAAGCTGAAAGTTCAGGCTCTCAAAGATCGAGGTCTCTCCATTCCTCGAGCAGACACTCTTGATGAGTATTAACTCTTTTGCTCAGGGACTGTTGCTCTTGGGGAGCAGGGGTTGTCACTGAGTGAAAGTGGCATTCTGGTCACCACACACATTTGACTAGAGACTGTAGAATTTTGAAAAGTCATTTTTCTTTTGAATTCTATGAACATGAATATGCAACATGAAGAAATCATGTGGCTTTTTTTTCCTTAAATAATGAAATCATCGTTTAAAGAAACAGCTGGATGGACTTCTTTCACATATCACTGTGGATCCAGCAACTACTTCTCTATGTTGCTCTTCTCACCCCAAATTACAGTTTACAGGGGACAGTCTTCATTTGCTTGTAAATAAAATATGAATCTCAAACTGTCATGTTATTTCCCAAGTTTGAGTTGCCTCCAATGAATAGACAAAATTTCTGGTCTCAAAGGTATAAACAGTACGCATACTGGAATTCCCCCCCCGTCTCACTTCCAAGTTGCTGGTTACTTTCAAAGGAATATTTTCATACTAAATATCTTGTGGGTCCTCCCCTCTCCCCACTGATAAAAAAAAAACACATTTTGGCCTTCAAGAAGGAGCTATCAGTATGTTTCACAGTTACTGGTTATAACAAAAGCCTCAGGTTTGAGGAACAACATCACTACTGAAGTTGCTGTTCCAGCTTCAACAGCTATTCAAAACTAGGTTCCCATAAGATCCAATATTTAACTAAGGTGGCTTTTTCTCTAAATCTTCTGTTAATTTAGTTTTGTTTTCTAGCCCTTTGGATTGAGTCTTGAGCCTCTTATGCTATTATCAAAAAGGAACACAAATGAAATGGTATTTCAGTGACTGTTACATCTAGGTTATTCCTGGGTGACCACCTGGTGATGCCATTTTTCTGGTTTGATGTTGACTCCGTAGTAGGTGTGACAGGCTACTTGAAGAGAGTACTGTGTAGTTCAGTGGACAGTGTACTGGACTAGGAGTTTAGGAGACATAGGTTAGAATTTTTACTTCGTTCTTCCCCTGGCACCTTGGCTTGAGCAAGTCCTCAGATTCTCGGGGTTTTTTTGAAATAGAATTATTCCAGGTAATTCCTTTTCATAATCTGTTGAGCAAAGATGTCCTTTTCATAAGATTTTTGTGCAATTCCTATGTCTGAATTATCTTACAGCATTACATATACTTAACATTTCATGAGCTTGGGTGTTTTCAAAACTGCCCCAAATGCCTGTAAACCGTTTGACCCCTGAGCTATGTATTCATCATTGAGTTGGTTTTAAAGTAGATAATTTGTGAAGAAACATTTGTACCTAGTGATTATCAAGTATGTTTTGCCTCTAATCTTGCTGTTTTAACTACTTAAAGGGGGGGACATATCTACATAACATTCTTTGGGAGTCACTGGGATTACAGCATTTGTTTTTCTGAGCACCACTGCTTCAGAGTGTCTGATACCTGTAAGGAATTTGGACTCACTCTAGTTACCTTGTTTGTTCAACCTTCAACTTCAAACGTAATTAACGAGTTCTAGTTTATTCTTATGTTAAAGAAGGAAAAGGGACTGAATTTTGACAAGCCAAGAATTTCCCAATCGTAGCAAGATTTTGATTATTGCTTTTAGACCTTTGTCACGCAGGCAGCAGTGAAGAATTAGACCTAACAAGTGAAACTAGACTACCAGCTTCCTTCCTCCTAGTCTCCAGGATGCTCAGCAAAATGGCTTACCCTCAGCTCTGCCCAGCCCAGGATTTTTGCAGATACTAAAATCATGGATTTTTCCCTCTTCATACCTTTATTTAATTTTTAAACATCAATTGGTTGCCTCCCATACAATCCCCCACCAGGGTTTGTGCCCTGACCAGGAACCAAACCTGCCACCTTTTGGTGTACCGGAGGACACTCCAACCAACTGAGCCACACCAGCCAGGGCCTGTTTTATCTTTAATAGTTTCTTCCAATAGGGGTTCCCATGAGGCTTTAAAAGGAGACAAGGAAGATCTACCAAAGCCCCTTTCCTAGCCATCTTTATTGTGATATAGTTGAGTGCAGCAGCATATCTCGCACTCTTCCAGCTGGTCTCTCTGCCTTTCCTTGGCCTTTGATCTTATGTTGCGCGCCTCTAGCTAAGTTTAAACTGCACTATCTGCTCTCCTCCCCACGTCTGATAAACTCCCAACAGGCCCTGGATGCTTAACGACAGCTAGATACCTTTATACTGCCTATTGTGGAGGGTTCCTCTGGGAAGCCGTATGAACCCCACAGATATTACACAGAGGTGAGGAAGACTGGGAAATGGTCTCTTGCTCACGAATGTTGGCTGGCAGTCCCAGGCAGGGCAGTGCAGACAGCAGAGAACACATGCCAGCAGGCAGAGCGGATGCACCAGGCAACTACAGTGGGAGTTCCCAGCCTCTAGTCTCAGGTCCATCATGATGTTCATGGTGGCACTGCACAGCTCAAGAAAGGGGTCCCAGGAATTGTAGCTGGCAAGAAAGTATTAGAGGAGAGGCAGTTAATGAACAGTTCCCCACCCTTTGGCTCCCCCCCAAAAAAGTTACACGTGTGTGTGTGTGTGTGTGTGTGTGTATATATATATATATATATAAAATCTGTGGGGCATTTTTCACCTTTCAAAAGTCATACTATGAGCCTGGCCGGGCGTGGCTTAGCGGTTGAGCGTTGACCTAGGATCCAGGAGATCGGGGTTCGATTCCCTGTCAGGGCACATGCCCAGGTTGCAGGCTGCAGCCGATCAATGACTCTCTCGTCATTGATGTTCCTATCTCTCTCTCCCCCTCCTTTTCTCTCTCTGAAATCAATAAAGATATATATATTTTTTAAGTCATACTATGAGATAAGCTCCATCCAACTTCCTTTCTTATTAGGAGCCAGCATTCCTAGTGAGGTACAAAGAAAGCATTTTGCTTATACACGTTGCAGGTTGATGCACTAATGCGGAACCAACCTTCCAGACTGAAGCTAACCAACCCTGCTCATAATCAAGGAAAGAGCAGCAGGAGAGAGTCTAGTCTGAGCCGTCACCTAGGAGTTAACATGAGCTGAGCAGAAATGTCACTGGTGATAACAGCTCATTTGCACATGTGCTGTACCAATGCAAGGACTCCTAAAGATGACAACCTGTTAGGACTATGTTAAATCCAAGGGAGGTCAAGTTTTTGCCAATGAGACTGAACATGATCACCTTAGTTTAAACCTGGGTTGTAATCTACTAGGTCTTGATACAAATTTAGTGGATTATAATCAGCATTTTTTTAAAAAATATATCTTTATTGATTTCAGAAAGAGGAAAGGAGAGGGAGAGAGAGACAGAAACATCAATGATGAGAGAGTCATTGATCGGCTGCCTAGCCTGCAACCCGGGCATGTGCCCTGACCGTGAATTGAACCCCGATCGCCTGGATCCTAGGTCGAAGCTCAACTGCTGAGCCAGCCTGGCTGGGCTATAATCAGCATTTTTAAAAATTGGAATAGGCCCTGGCCAGGCTTGGTTGGAGCATCGTCCCATACACCAAAAGGTTGTGGGTTTGATTCCCAGTCAGTGCATATACCCAGGTGTAGTGGGTTTGATCCCCAGTCAAGGCACATATGAGAGGCAACTGATCGGTTTCTCCCATTGATGTTTTCTCCAGCCCCTCCTCTCTACCTCCCTAAAATCAATACAAACATACCCTCAGGTGAGGATTTAAATAAATAAATATAAAAAATTGGAATAGAGTAGAAAATAGAGTGCATTACATAATAAAATGTAGACATACGTGTTTAAAATTTTGTTACTGTGGGTAGTTATCAGAAACATTTGAAAAACTGCCTTAGCTTGTAGTAAGTTGTTATATGCTACTGCAACTAGGAAAGAAAACTGTATGTCCATTCCCCATCTTTCATGTCACCCCCTGAAAATCACCTGTGCCCTGGCTGGGGCTAGGATTTGCAGTTCTTCCTGCCTTGGAACACACTTGCTGCAGGGTCCTTCCCTCACAATCTTCAGGTCTCTGCTCGGCTTTCACCTTCCCTCTCTTAAATAGCACTCCTTTCTCCCCTCCTATTTCCTTTCCAACTTCATTTTTCACCATAGCAAGTATCAGTCTGACATCAGTTTTACTTGTTTACCATCTGCTCCACTTGGCCACTAAAATGTAAACCCTTGAGGACAGGATTTTTGTCTGTCGTGTTCACTCCTATATTCCCACATCTAGAATGATGTCTGGCATGTATTAGGTCTCAAAGGATGGATGGACAGATGGATAGATGACTGGGAGCATGCAGTGAATTCAGCCTTCAGATACTTCAGACACGTAAGGCACCAAAAGATGAGGACAGCTGAACCCCCTGAGCAACCAAAGTGGGGTACTTTGTAGGGACGACCGCGAATTGAGTACTTAGTGGGGATCCTTCTGCTGAACACGGAGCTGTTCTGTAGGGCAGCCTTCACTGTGGACCACAGCTCTCCCAGGCGTGAAGAGTTTGGAGATACTTGGTGTCAAAATGTCTAGAAGAAAGTCCCGGGGAACGTGGGGTCAGGGGTGAGGGAGGACTTGTCAGGGCTGTTGGAAGTAATGCCTGTTTTCCTCCCAACTGCCCTCCAGGCAGAACTCCCCTGCAGTGCCCCGCCCCCCATCTTGACATCACCCCTCCAAGGGGTCCCCGGAGAAGGAGAGCAAAGGGCTGCTTCATGGGTGCTTGCTTTTACAGGGTTTGTATCCAGATAAGGGAGCCAAGATCCAAAGTAAATGTTCCTGTCCCCTTCCCAAGATCTTCTAGCCTGAAAGGAGAAAACCAACCCTAGGAAATGGAGCATGTCTGCTACTCACCCGTCTCAAATTCAGGGTCGGTCTGCCTGGTTAGGACTCCCCTACCTGTCTACTCCTTGGGTTCTGCCAGGAGACTTGGAAGCAGAGAATAAAATCGGGTCCTTTTTTCCTATATTTTACCCATTCTTTTTAAAAATATGTCCCCCCTAACTCCAGCCACTAAGTGGCTGTTGCTGCCACTTGGCCAGACCAGGGGGCAAAAAATGGCCTCCACCTGCTGCTCTGGAAATACAGAGAATTCTAGGGCACCAGCTAACCAGGAGCTAGGACTTGAAGAGAGAGGGCTCAATGCTGGGCGTATCTCAAGGTCAGGAACCCAGGTTGACTGGGAACCCCGTCTCTGAGACCCAATTTTATGGACGTATAATTTACATCCTGTAAAATGTACTCTTTTTAGTATACGACTCTGAGTTTTAACAACTGCATCTAGTTATATACCCCTTCGTATTTAACTTCTCTCTCCTTCCCCAGCCCCCGGCAACCACTGATTTGTTTTCTGTCCCTAGAGTTTATAATTCAGTTTTTTCTTAAAATAGTATGCAAGTCAAATAAAAT